TTCGGTGCTGAAATAGCCGTGGATTTTATTTGAAACGTCTGCAGCTCCATCCTGGCCCCTCACTCACACCTTCCTGGCTCCGCCACTCGTCATGCTTAGAAAACATTAGCATGAATTCTGTCTTACCTTTGCTGTCTCGCTTCCAAAACTTAAATCCAGCGCAATTAAATCGCATTAACTGAATAACTCCATTTCCCACAATGCCTCAGAGCAGAGACGTCTCACTTGAGCAGCATCGGGTAATATCCATTCATGGTTTTTTTGGTGTTTATTTATGGAACGCCAGGACTGCCATAATGAATTAATTAAATACACCATTAAATAATTAATTAAATGTGGCAATAATTAATTACATAAATATTTATGACACATGTATTTAATTAATTCATTATGGCAGTCCTGGCGTTCCATATTTATTGTCTACTGCAGCATATTTTCAAAGGGGTGAGATGCTATAAAATACAAAACACATTTAGGCATTTTTCTGTGTTGAGTTATTTTGACACGATAGCATCAACGGTAATATTTGCACCTCGGATGAAGTCTCACAGGCGTTAGCTTCATTTTGATTAGATTGCTGCTTACACAGAGTTTGTAATTCATACTCCATCTCACCTTTAATAACTTTACATATGAAAGTAATATTTGATATGTCACTTTAGAAAGCTGCAAGCATGAGCAATTTCTGCATAAATTACAGAAAGACGTAAATTATTAATAAAAAATCATATGACTAAAGTCACAACAGAATGTGGGGTTAGTATTTTGCCCAAAGATATTTGACATGTAGACTGGAGTCACAACTGGCTTCAACTGATATACATGAATGTATTCTCATGGAGGTCGGCAATTTGAGGCACACAGCCACAGAGTTAATGATTTCTTCAATGAAAAGCGGTCCCAAGTAATGTGGGTCCAGTTTCTTTGACATGCATTTGAGAGGACTGTCCTTGGAGGATCCAGACTTTCTTGCCTTCCACATACTGTTGGGCTGGGACCTCATCCAGTCAATGAACTGGTGGTTTTATTCTGCTATGCGCTGGAGGAGAGCATAAGATTCCCCAGCAGTGGTGATGGTGATGTTGCACTTGTTGGGTTGCAAATCTTGAAGCCAACATGAAAACCTTATCCAGCCAATGATGTGCAGATCCTGCTTTTTAGATCCCATTAAAATGAAAAAATCCTCTAGAAAAGATTAGAATTCTGGAAACAGTTTATTAAACAGAGTCATATGAACAGCAAAACAGTACATGACATTACACAGAACAGCAAGACAACAGATCACAAAGCAAGCAAAGCGAACCTCGGACGCTCCTTCATAAGGAGTCAAACTTCTCCTAAACACCAATCAGTTTTTTGTGAGTCCTTTTTGACATTTTTAGGGCCAAAGTGAGGTCATTAAGTTTAAACTTAATTTGGCAGTTATGCTTGGATTTACATAATATCAGGTCTACATCAGGGGTGTCGAACTCCAGGCCTCGAGGGCCGGTGTCCTGCAGGTTTTAGATCTCACCCTGGGTCTACACACCTGAATCAAATGATGAGTTCATTACCAGGCCTCTGGAGAACTTCAAGACATGTTGAGGAAGTCATTTATCCATTTAAATCAGCTGTGTTGCATCAAGGACACATCTAAAACCTGCGGGACACCGGCCCTCAAGGCCTGGAGTTCGACACCTGTGGTCTTCATTGTTAGAATCCCAGCCGCAGTGTGATTCTAAAGATGTCCTGTGGGGGCAGTATTGAGCTTAGTGTGCCGCCCATTTAACAGAAGAAGCCGACGACTAACAGGCAGCACCGAGGAGCCGGTCCACAGAGGGACGTTCAACAATTCTCTGAGATTTTCCACGTACAATAATCAAAACGTCGTACGCAATGAGGTATCCGAGTGCAGCTCGTTGGCCAATGTGTTTTAAGTCGAGTACTATCAAGTCTTTGAGTCCTTACCTCGTACCTGTGCTACAAGCTAGCTCTGAGTGCCTCATACAGCCAGTTAGTGCCGTGTCATTTAAAGCCAGTGGCGTGTATTGTCTGAAAGCTCGCTGCTTTCCTTTTTTTCTTTCAATGAATTCAAAAGTCCGAGGAGTGTGTAGCAGGAGCTCTCTCGGTGTAGGGAAGGCTACAGTAGTGCACATATGTTAGCATCGGTGGCTAATAGCTACCCTGCTGAGACGCTCAATGAAACAAATGTGCTTTGGCTCAGTGAAGCAGCGCTGATGTGCTGCATTAGTCTCTCTACGTTACGTCATTACATCACAACATCGTTACATGTTGGCTCAGTCGCCAAACGTGGCTTGTGCACGCGCTAACGTCAACTGTGTTGTGTTTGTGTCCAGAGGAGACCGCGGCAGAGGCCGAGGCGGCCGCTTCGGGGCCCGCGGGGGACTGGTCCAGGGGTGAGTCCTCTGCAGCAACAGCACCATCAACACACACACGCTGCACTGTGCTGCTGTCCCTCTGCTTGTTGCACTACACAGAAACAGTGTCAGAATGTAAATGCTGAAATCACTACGCTTCATTTTTCTGTTCCTGTTCTCAACAGAACTATGAAATGTTGAATGTTGTGCTTTAACTCTGCCAACTGGAATGAAAACCGCTAACACTGCTGTGTAGCCACTGACATACAGACCCTGGAGCTGCTGTTGAACCAAAGTTAACTAAACGTTATTTGTGTTTAGGTACCGGCCATTTGTCCCACACATTCCCTTCGATTTTTATGTGGTAAGTATGTGCGGTGGTGGGAATTAGACACGTCAGCCAGCAGTCAGTGTATACTAATAGTATAGGGTGGTTCTAAAGGCAAGTACTCAAGCAGACTGTTGTTTGTCACAAGTGTGAGATGGCCTTCCCCAGAGTGAAGCCTGCACCTGATGAGACGGCGTTCAGTGAGTGTCTGCTGAAAAGGAACCAGGACCTGAGCCCCACCCCTGCAGAGCAGGTCAGTCTGAGCCCGCACTCGCCCAGTAGCCGTGCAACTGACCTGCTGTTCAAGTTCACTTACACAAACCTTGTTCGTTGTCCGTCAGTCTTCCATCCTGTCCCTGGTCACAAAGATCAACAACGTGATCGACAACCTGATCGTTGCACCTGGAAACTTTGAAGTGGTGAGTCGAACATGAGCGAATGAGCCGTAACGGCTTCGGTGACGTCCACGCGCTGCTGGTGTGGCTGGTGTGTGTGTGTCAGCTCAGAGCTGAAACATCAACACTGAATCACTTGGATGCAGTAACAGTGCTCTGTGCACTACACAGCTTCATTTCCATTGGACAGATTTCATATTTATATTATAAGCTAATCAATAATAATAATAATGGCTTTCCTGTCAGTAATCTTGTACGTGTCGACTTGCAGCAAATTGAAGAGGTGCGTCAGGTGGGTTCCTACAAGAAGGGCACCATGACGACCGGACATAATGTTGCTGACCTGGTTGTGATCCTCAAGATTCTCCCTACATGTGAGTCATTTATGGCACAATTACTGTCCAAAGAGAAGCTGCTGCTCAGGCACA